AAATATAAAATGTTTGTGATAATGGAATCATGAAGTTACCTGAAAAATGGCAGAAAATTGTAGAACAAAGTGCTAAAGTTAAGTTGTCTATAAAGTTAATAATATCGAAAATAAACGAAATTGTTTTTTGTTTGTATCGTTGTTTGTTTGTTTGTTTATTTTTACTTAACAAACTGGACAAACATTTTAAATGAGCGATGTGCCGCACTAGCTCGAAAATAAAGAAAACAAAATATAAAACGAATAGAGTAAATGTGAAAGAATTGATTTTTGCTTGTTCTTATTTTTCTATTAACATTTTAATTGGTGACGAATTAATTTTCAGCGAGACATTAGAAAGGTAACTCAATCGATCGCAAGTGAGACATTCTCGCTAATCGAACATTTTCTCTCCCACGTTCAGTCTATGATAAACATTTTACAATAAACAAACACGTTTGCACATACGTCAGCAAATCACAAAGTCGTACTGCTATCACGTTTGTTTTAAAACTGAATTGTCGATCTTGTACTGAAAAATATTTTTTGACATTTTATTTGCATGCTTATTTAATCAGTTTATATTTTCCAAAATAAACATCCTATCTTTAATTTTATTTTCGGTAAATAGCAGTTGAAAAATTCTCCTCCCAGAAATTATGCCCCTAGGAAAAAAGTTTCTTATCAGTTGTTTGTAATCGAATCTGAAACGATAAATCAGTACTAGTCGTACAAGAAATACCAATTTCCACTAATATTAATACTAACAGCACCCCCACCCCCCAAATTCACATCATCATTGTTATTACCAGTTCCATAACTGCGTGTGGCTGTAGGGTCATTGTGCAACTGAACACCTGACCAGTTTCCTCCACATAACAGGAGCGGTATTATTCATGCGTAACATGTCTTGGTTAATTAGACCTGACGAAGCCTATCCCTCTCACGGTCAAATCACAGTTGGTCTCCTTCAACTTGAAGCCTTGGTCACAGATAGATGGCTGTTGATTCGATCGGGAGAACCTTCCGCTTTGACTGTTGACTTCATTCTAGGCAAGTCTGGTTGTATACATAACTATGGAGCCCACAAGAAGGTTCATCAATTCTTTGACAGCTATTGTCTGGACCCCCCTCATCACCAGAAACGCCTGGTAGAAGGAACCTGTTTAGTCGCTGATGACTCGAGTATGTGACTGATAGTAATTATATGGTACTAGTAGTATTTGTATCTGTCATAACAAACATTACAAGTGAGTGAATATATTGGCTGATAAAACCCCGTAAAAAAATAGAAAACAAAGACCCAACTGGATTCGAAACCTAATTTTGAGGAGATTCTTGCAATATATGCAGAAAATCTATCTGATCTTACTCGCTCCGTGGTCTTCGGACTAGAATTCTGAACCCACTTAATCCGAGGAATCACTTTTCTCTAACTTATCTCTAATCTCTGTGGCATGCCAAAAGGCAAATGCCGATAGGACTAGATTTTTTTTTATCATCTCTCGTTATAATGCGATCGCCAAAATACGTGTAGTGAGCCTTACATTAAACCTAACTTTGTGCCAGATTTGCCTTCGTGAAAATGTGGTGAATGAATAGTCTGATTTTCTGACTCTTGTTTGTGTGTGCCCATCTCAGCATAGTATTCCAAGACGTTGAGATCATATTATGATCTGCCTGCTTGAAGATTTTTGAGGATTCTCATGTCAAAAGAAATAAACGTCAGTTTGGATTTTCTTCGCAGGCGCAGGCTTTCCTGCCTAGTGACGGGCGGAAGCGGTTGGCCTCCGTGCGGATTCATAATTCCCGATGACAGTCTAGTCTCTCCTGACGAACAGTCACCCATTTCCGTGTCTGACGTCAATCCTCATTTTTTTTTCTTTTATTTTGAGGCTTGCGCGTGTATTGAAGTAGAAAGAGACTTGTACAATATCACCCGCATTCTGACTTGTCGAACAATGTTCCGTGTCCGTGGTAATGGTCAATTGGAATGGTAATTGCATAGAAGAAATAAAGAAAGAAAAAAGAAACAAATAAAGAAGAAAGGGGAAAGAGAGAGAGAGAGAGTGTGTGTGTGTGTGTGTGTGTGTGTGTGTGTGTGTGTGTGTGTGTGTGTGTGTGTGTGTGTGTGTGTGTGTGTGTGTGTGCGTGTCAGTGTATGTTCTTTTTGGTCTTACTGCAAAAATTCATAAAAAGCGAGATGTCGATGGCATTGATTTTTTCTAGCTCCATGTACTATCACAAACACACATAGTGAAACATACATACATATACACACACGGACCCATAGAAACAGACAAGACAGTATTTCATTGTCCTTGTCACTATCACAACGAGTGACGGTCGAGGAGAAGCAATAATTTTCAGGATTTCGTGATCGTCTACTTTTAGTCACAAATGAAACGACCAGGAATGTAATTGAGATTCAGCAAAGAATAAGCTTTCTTTCTATCTTGCAAGTCAAATGTATGCAGAAACATTCATTAGGTTCTTGTCAACAAGAAAAACGTTGTTTGAAATAGAGGCCTTCTTCCTACGTGCAACATCATAAAGAGTAAAAAAAATCATAAATTTTGGCGATCTGGTAAAAAAACAAATTGAAACAGATAAAATAAAACACAGAAAATAAGAAAAAAAAAGTTTCAGCTCTTATAGAACTATGGATATAAAATGAATTCAGCAGATATACAAAAATAAAATGGGGTGTAAGACAAGGATGTGTGTTTTCATCGGACGCATTCAACTTCTATGGTAAAGCGATTGAGAAATCCTACCAGGATTCATTATTGGCGGTCACAATCTTAACAACATAAGATATGCAGATGGCACGGTGTTGATAGCAGTCACAAAAAAGAAACAAGAACTACGACAGCAAGTAGTGATGGAAATCCAAACGAAATGACTAAACATCAATTGCAAGAAGACAGAATTCATGGAGGCTAGCAAAAGAAACAGTCCAGCATGCAAATTACAAATTGGAGATTCCAGAATCAAACAAGTTCAACAATTTAAATATCTTGGGAGTGGTTTAAAAGATGACGGAAAGTTCGAAACTGAAATCCGAAGGCACATTAGGACATCGAAATAGGCCTTCCAAAAGCTAAGCAAAGTATTGAAAAAAACAGAAAAAAATAATTAGAAACAAATAAAGAGCACTAAACTGTTACGTAATATCAGTCCTCCCATATGGCAGTGAATACTGGTCAAACTCCTCTCAGATGAAGAAGAGACTTGAAGCAACAGAAATAGGGTTTTACAGAAGGATGCTGTGGATACCATGGACCGAACATGGGAGCAATAACAGTATTTTAGAGAAAATGGACACAAAAAGCAGACTTTAAAGAAAATGGAAAGAAAAAGTAAACTTATACTTAACATCAAAAAGAAATAGTTGAAATTTCTAGGGCGCATAATGAATAAAAGAGGGCTTGGGAAATTAGATACTCACAAGGACATATTGAAGGAAAGAGGGGCAGTGGAGAACAACGCATAACCTAACTAACGAGCTTCAGTAAATTGATGGCAGAACAATATTTAGAAGAGATAACAAAAGATCGTAAGAGACTAAAAGAGATTTAAGAGCTACAAAGGACAGGAAATTATGGCGAACCATGATCACCAACGTCCTGAAGGGACACGGCACATAGAAGAAGAAAGTTTATTATTATTTGGATTTCCCCTATAAGCACATGCCCACGGACAATGATATTTAACGTACGCAAAAGACAGTTGTAATTTCTATGTCATATAATGAGAAAAGAGGGCTTGGAAAATTTGATACACGCAGGACAGATTGAAATCAAGAAGATCAGAGGAAAACAACGCATAAACTAACGAGCTTGAGTAAATGGATGGCAGGACTAGGTTTAGGAGAAATAACAAAATTTATTAAGAGCTACAAAAAACAAATATATATATATATATATATATATATATATTCTAAATAAAGAATTCTTCGGGTCATCGACATTATAAAGAATAACTTAAGAGGTGAAAATGTAAGAGAGACTGCCAATATTAAATCTTTCCTCGCCGAAATCCGTAAATGGTGTTGTCATCGTTTTCCTTGGCTTGGTTAAGAAAAAGCCGAATGATTAGAGAGGCGAGATCATGTATGGCTAGAGGTTTATTCTTTATTCCCTAAATATGCTGCTTATTTAACGTTTGTAGAGTGCTTGTAACTTTTAATGTCACCAATGTGACGCCAGATGGTAGTGTCTTTATTGCGATAATGGCGGGCTGTTTTAATGATTAAAGCAAAGAAATCGTCAAAAGACCAAAAACAAAGAAGTTCGTGTATCGGAGGATATCGGTATATATTCAATATTATAAGTGAAATCTTTTAATTATAGCAAGGCAGTGATACTCAGCCGCTGTGCCACGGTTACATACAAATGTTAAATTTATGGTTTTATTTCATAACGTTTAAATGTATACGAGAAAGGCTACGCTCAAATGATGAAGAAATAAGAGTCTGCTTATCGTACATTCAGCCAGACATGAAAACAACCAGGCACAGGTTTCACACTCAATAAGCTGCACAAATAACTGAATTGAAATAAAGTTTTTATTTGTGCATGTGCGTACTTTATTTTTTTAATCTATGGTTTTCTTTCATAAGATCTAAATCTATATCCTTTAAAAATTTTGCTAAGTGTGCCATGATATTTTCATTTGCTCCTAGGAGTGCCATTGCTTAAAAGGTTAAGAAACACTGTAATAAGGACTTAATATTTAGATTGAATTTTTTGCATTTAAAAACAGATTTTTATTATCAACGGTCTGCAAGAAAACAGGCTGACTTGGACATTATATGCGATGTGTATAAAGAAGATTTGTAACTGCAGATTTAGGTTATTTATGGATTTAAAAGGCTGTCAGTAAAAACAAAAAAGATGCGCAATTGTTGATACATTGGATAATAATTGCACAAATGTGTCAAACGACTATGGCTTCCAATGATTAAAATATTTCAGAATTCCAACTAGAGCGAAATATCACCCGCTCTCTCAAAATATCTAAATATTAAATAGATAGAAAGAAAAGAAAGGATTTAGATAGATAGATAGATAGATAGATAGATAGATAGATAGATAGATAGATAGATAGATAGGAAAGAGAGAAAAAAACGGCGAAGACTGAAGCTTACCTCAGCTACATGGCCGCTTGGGAGAAAGCGTTTCTATTTAATCTAACAAAAGGATATACATGTGTGCCAACGCTCGACAATACAGAGAAACGCAAGGATTTCTTTTTGTGAATTTCTATTTACAGTTATTTATGATTTGCTGTTTTCTTTTGTTGTTGTTTTTTATCAATTAGTTGTCACTTAATTTATTGATTTATTGGCAAGCAGTTGGAAACGTTGACTACATGATGAAAAAATGTGCAATCAATTGGGGAAAGTGGGGAAAAGAAAAAAGAAGTCGAAAATGCACTGTTGGAATAGAAAATAAAATAAAGATCCAAGCGTCCGAAGAAGGAAGTCGAAATAAGTGAAAGGAAAGCGATAAGAAGAAAGAAATGTTGATGAAAGCATTGCTAGCTGGTAGCGGTGTAGGGGCATTTAAGAGAAACGAAGAACGCCCCAGTAATAATGACTTGGTAATTGCCTGAAGATGAAAGAGAAGAAAGAACAGCTACTGATCATGACTTGGTACCCGACAGAAAAAGAAACAAGATAGAATGTCTTTTATGTAAGCACGAAGTCTTTATCGATGCCTTCATTTCAGAATCTCTAATTGCTGTCTCCAAGGCAGCCAAGAATGTGAGAGGGTTGGAGAACTGAGATAACAGAGGGGAAGACAGAACGATGGAAAAACCAATAAGACTATAAACGAACAGAAAGAAAAGTAACATCGAAAAGAAAAAATAGCGAGTAACAAAGAGGGACATAAAAGAAAAGGCGGGGGGATAGAAAGAGGGACAGAAAAAGTGAGAAAGAAAAGCACAAAAGAAAGAGGGAGGATGTGAAAGAAGGACACTGGGGGTGAAAGAAAGAAAACGAGATATATGCAGGTTCAAAAGTACGAGGGAAGTTGAGAAAAAATAAACCAGATTGATATGCACAAGACACACACATACACGTACCTATGAACACACTCACGTACACACTCACGCACATGTATAGAAAGAAAGAAAGAAAGAAAGAAAGAAAGAAAGAAACAAACAAACAAACAAACAAACAAAGAAGTTTAGAATCAACATTAAGAACTTCATAACCGATCTGACCTGGATTCGCCCCCTGAGTAATGATAACTCTCCCAATCGGCTCTCTACTGTCAGAGAAGGCACATAATTTATATTGTTTTATTTTATTGCACACCAACAATGCCAGCTGCTGCTGCTGCTTATTATTATTATTATCATTATTATTATTATTATTATTATTATTATTATTTCTGCTATGGACACACTACCTACCAAGTCTGCGGAAAGACCTAAGGCAGGTCGTGGTGTGTTGTTATGGCCACATTTCATGTTTTTTTTTTTTTTTTTATCTCCGATGAAGTTGCTAGCGTTACATAGACAAAGTTCTCCTTAGTGTGTGTGCTGTACTTAATAAGACAATTTTCTGTATGTCTCTTAAGCTGGGGTTTCCAGGGATTCTTTCAATGTGTTGTTTTGTTCCATTTTTTTTATAATTCCAAGTGCACCTATTACCACTGGTATTATTCTTGTTTTCAATTTCACATTTTTTCTATTTCAATTTCCAGGTCTTTGTATTTTGATAGTTTTTCAAATTCCTTGGTTGCTATGTTACAATCCGCTGGACAAGCCATATCAATTAGTAGGCAGTTTTTTCTTTCTGGTTTTTGACAATAATGTCCGGCCTATTTGCTTCAATTTTTCTGTCTGTGTGGATGGTATAATCCCATAGAATGGTGACATCTTCTATTTCTGTAACCGGCGCTGGCCGATGTTCATATTCAGTGTTTTTTACACATTTTCCAAAGTGTTTGCACATTGTCCAGTGTAAGTATTGCCCCACTCTATCGTGACGATTTTTATATTCATTTAAAAGTATAGAACATCCTGAGATTAGATGGTCTATTGTTTCTTGGTATTTGTCACAGAACCTGCATTTTGGATCCACATTATTATGTATGATATTTGCCTGAAAATTCTAGTGAAAAGACTCTGGTCTTGCTGCAAGAATAAAGCCTTAGTTTCAGATTTTAATCCAGATGCTCGTAACCATCGATATTTATTAACTTTTATCAACATTGGGTTTATTTGCAAGTTCTGGATATTGACCCATGCAGAGGTTTGTGGTGTGTTGCGTTGTTTCATCTGTTCAAGGGCTTTATTTTTTTTTTTTTTTTTTTATCTTTGATGCAATAGTTGGTTCATAAACAAAGTTTTGATTTACTACAGAATGTACTAAATAAGTAAATGTTTTTGTATTTCTGCCTTCTTTTTGGGGTTTGAATATTTTCTTTCTGTTTTGTTGTTTTGTTCCATTTTTATCATCCAGTCATTTGTTGTTTCCTAGTTAGTACCAATAGTTGTATTCTTGTTTTCAATTTAGCTGAATAACACCTTTTTCTATTTCAATTTCCAGGTCTTTGTATTTTGATAGTTTTTTTTTTTTTTGATTGCATCTGGTTGAAAGAATTTCTTGTTTTACAATCCATTTGTCTGAGCCATATCATTTAGAGTCCAGTTTTTGTTTCTGGTTTTGGACCAATGGGATGTCAAGGTTATTATTTGCCATAATTTTTCTGTTCTGTGGATGGTATAGTTTTAATAGAGTGGTGACATCTTCTATTTCTTTACGCACTGGCCGATTTCTTTCATTTTTTATGGTGAATTTTCCTTGTTTGCTCATTTCCAGTGTAGGTATTGCCCTTCTCTATCGTTCTAAATTTTTATTATTCAGCAGGGGCTAAAGTATAGGGAAGTTTGTTAGCGAGATGGTAAATTGTTTCTTTGGTATTTATCCAAATTGAATTTGGATCCAATGTATGTATGATATTTTACAGTTTGAAAAGACCTTCCAGCTCATTGTCATTCTGGTCAATTTTGCGCATCCAAAAATAATGGTTTATTTTCTTTTATTATTATTATCATTGTTATTGGTTATCATTATTATTATTATTATTATCATCATTCGATTTCTGCTATGGACACACTACCTACCAAGTCTGCGGAAAGACCTAAGGCAGGTCGTGGTGTGTTGTTATGGCCACATTTCATGTTAATTTTTTTTTTTTTTTTTTTTTTTCTTCCGATGAAGTTGCTAGCGTTACATAGACAAAGTTCTCCTTAGTGTGTGTGCTGTACTTAATAAGACAATTTTCTGTATGTCTCTAAGCTGGGGTTTCCAGGGATTCTTTCAATGTGTTGTTTTGTTCCATTTTTATAATTCCAAGTGCACCTATTACCACTGGTATTATTCTTGTTTTCAATTTCCACATTTTTTCTATTTCAATTTCCAGGTCTTTGTATTTTGATAGTTTTTCAAATTCCTTGGTTGCTATGTTACAATCCGCTGGACAAGCCATATCAATTAGTAGGCAAGTTTTTTCTTTCTGGTTTTTGACAATAATGTCCGGCCTATTTGCTTCAATTTTTCTGTCTGTGTGGATGGTATAATCCCATAGAATGGTGACATCTTCTATTTCTGTAACCGGCGCTGGCCGATGTTCATACCAGTGTTTGCTTACACATTTTCCAAAGTTATTATTATTATTATCATTATTATTATCATTATTATTATTATCATTATTATTATCATTATTATTATTATCATTATTATTATTATTATTATTATTATTATTATTATCATTATTATTATTATTATTATTATTATTATTATTGTTGTTGTTGTTGTTGTTGTTTATTTCTTTTGATTTACTGTTTGATACAATCATTTATCAAGTTTTTCATGTTAGACCTTAGGTAAATGAAGATTTTTCTTAGGAAGTTATTGAGCATATTTGGATTGAAAGTGTTTTTCTGTGCATGTGAGCAGTACTCATTAACACAATCTTTTGTATTTCATATAAAGATGGATTTCCTGGGCTTCTTCTAAATCATTTCTGGACTGGAAGAAATCACGTGTTTCTTCAATTCCACATTCTTGTCATTTCTATTTCCTCGATCTTTATATTTGGTGAGTTTATAAAATTCTTTTTCCTCGCATATATAGAGACAACCGTCTACATAAATATATTCTTACGTACACTCATTAATGCATTCACACATCCTACACACACAAATAAACTCATGCATCACATACGTATTTTCTGTTTTACTTGTTTTTCATGAGTACACGCACACGCACACCATGTCGGTCGCCAGAGTGTTTTGAGTGCAGGCACACTATGCGTCATTTTCATTGGGGGCAAATGATTTGGGGGACAGTCCTCCAGCCTCCCTCTTGTCGACTGGCCTGGCATTCATACATGGTTACACATAAAAAGAAGTACTCATATACATGATAACTCATTCACATCCGCTTTAATAAGTACGTATACACACTTACACTCACGTGTGGACTGGGCTTTTCCTTTGTCCTGGGTATGACAATAAACTATATCCGGTAGCAACGACTCTAATCGGGAGAAATTTTGAAGAATGTGGAGTTAATTCCTTTTGCTTCCAGGTCAACCCTGACCCGGGGTGGTAGCACTCGTTAGGGTCCCAACTATGGACAGATAGTTAACCCTCATACTGAAGTCAGTATGAAAGTATAAAAATACATTTTTATTGTAAAATTACCAGCAATACATTTTCATAGTAGCATCAATATATTTTTATAAACAAATATTACCAGCAATACATTTTCATAGTAGCATCAATATATTTTTATAAACAAATATTACCAGCAATACATTTTCATAGTAGCATCAATATATTTTTATAAACAAATATTACCAGCAATACATTTTCATAGTAGCATCAATATATTTTTATAAAAATAAATACATTTTTCATTACATCAATATATTTTATAAACAAAATTACAATACATTTTCATAGTAGCATCAATATATTTTTATAAACAAATATTACCAGCAATACATTTTCATAGTAGCATCAATATATTTTATAAACAAATATTACCAGCAATACATTTTTAGCATCAAATATTTTTATAAACAAATATTACCTAATACATTTTGCAAAAGAAAGAAAATTCAAGAAAAAATTTCGACATTAAATGGAGTTGATATGCCGCTAAACAAAATATATGTGCTTTTCGCTTTGTGTAAGTTTCAACTTTGTCAATACATTTCCTAACTTACTTTTGTACATGTTTCTGAGGGTTAGCTTTTATGCTCTTACTGGTAATGGTAATAACAGCCGTTTCCTTATAAGGAAACATTTGGCATTTATTGACCGAACAGCTAGTAATGTTTTCGGTTGAAATGTATAAAGTCTTTCTCTTAAAATATTTTTTGATAAAAACGGGTTTCTCCAGTCCAGTCCAGTCTGTTTTCGCTCTTTCCAGTTTTGATGGGGATTTCCTTCCGAGCCTTCTATTTGATGTGGTGTAGAAGGTTAACTTCTTGATTATGTTATTATTTTCTCTTCGAGGTAAATGTATTCTCCATTTTAGTTATTGCTGCTGCTGTTAGTCCTCAAGTAATGTGGCTTCTGTTATTTGGTACAGTTCTTTGTTTGTAATTCTGTAGCACCGTCCACAATGTTCAAAGCAGGATGATTTTTACCAAAACTCTCAAAGGCTTTTTTTACCATTGATCTTAGGAAGCGATTGTATACAGCTGACAGTTTAGATATTTCTGAAAGAGTTTGGTGCCATGCATGACATCCACATGATGAGGCTATTTAAGAACATGACTCGAGTTTTCAGGTACATGTTTTGGTTTCGTAGCAATTTGTGGTGTTGTGGGAAACTACTTCTGGCGCAGGCAACTCTATGTTCAATTTCTTTTTCTCCTGATAAAGTTTCGTAATTAACGTCTCTTTTTGTTATCGTAAAATAATCAGGATTTCCACGTTTCTCTTTTTAGCTGTTAGTAAAATTTGCTTTATTTGGAAAAGATATTAAAATAATCAGGAACATTTATTAGGAACAAACCTCCTGTATACGGATAGAAAATGAACTGAGAAAATACACATAACAAAAAAGGACGTGAGATACGAATACCTCTTTTCGCCGGATTTATTTAACCTTTAAAGCGAGGAGATCGTAAGAGACTAAATGTCTTATCGGAATTTATCAATGGTGGTCACAA